TTTTTTTGATGAGATATTAAAGAAAGATTTGACCAAAAATATATTGGAATTTGCTGAATTTGTGTGATTTCTAAGATGCACAGAGTGAAAGGTTAAGATAATGAGGGATACCTAGACTAGCTCACATTTGAGTGGTAACTAAATGCCGAGGATACAGTCATCCATTTACAAACTTCTCACTCTCAAACAACTGATGGGAGTAGGTCTCACCTCCATTTTCAGATGAAGAGGTTAGTCACTTGGCTAAGGGAGCAGAATTGGTTGTCAGAATTCAGTCCTAGGCATTCTGACTGGTGGTTATATAATATCTCCTGTACTATTCTGCTGTGAAAACAGGCTCCAGTTGCAAAAGTGAGACTGGCAGTGACACCAAGCTTAGAGAGATTGTCCGTGGAGTGTCTTCTTGAGCTCTGAAGAGCCCACTCTCCCATATCCAGCCTCACTTCCTCAGGAAGGCCATCAAGGGAGTGGTAGACAGACCCGAGTACTGCCTTATCACGTTAGGTCTGGTGCTGTACGAACTTCGTCTTCTGTGGGGGTACCAGAGACCTAAGATGCAGTTCCTGGCACCAAGGAACTTCCATAGCCTAGGTGAAGTGCTTTACCTCAGGCAAAGCTTATCCTGGTTTTCTAGGAAATCTTTTTTCCTGTTCTAAATATAAACCAGTACAGTATATAGGTTTTTCTTTGTCCTGGTGCATCTTCATTATAGTTGGTCCCTAATTCCAAGCATAGACTGGAAAGCAAAGATGAAAAACATCTTTTGCATCTTCGTTCTAAGCTAATTTTTTTTACTTATCTGGTACACATAGAGTTTATTGACTCAGAGGCTAGAGATTATGAAATTGGGGAAGCCAAGAGTGGTGGTGCATGCCTGTAATCTCAGCACTCTTGAGGCTGAGGCAGGAGGATCACCCTGAGTTCAGGGCCAGCCTGGGCTACATAGTGAATTCAAGGCCAGCCTGAACTATGTAATGAAAATCTGTCTCAAACAGAAAAAAAGAAATTGGGGATGGGAAACTGAGCAAGAAGGTTTCCTGAGGCTGTTCATGTTTTATAGATAGACTCTTCAGGCAGTTTTCATATTGAATACTTTCTTTTTCTAATAGTGAGCTAAAAAGACGCCTTAAAGCTGAGAAGAAAGTGGCAGAGAAGGAGGCCAAGCAGAAAGAGCTCAATGAGAAACAACTAAGCCAGGCTACTGCCGCTGCCACTAATCACACCACTGACAACGGTGTGGGTACCGAGGAAGAGAGCCTGGACCCAAACGTGAGTCCTCTGGGCCACTTGTGTGGCTGGACACAGGAGAGCTTCTGTTGAGGCTCAGAGCAGACTTCCTTGGGACCAGTGACTAAGAAGATAAAAATGACTAGAACAGGGCCTGGGCCCTGAGTCACTTCCAGAGGATGGCAGTGAAGGTGCTGCTATTTCAGCTGGCTAAAGGCACGGGGCCTAAGCTTTTTCTTTTACCTCCTAACAGGTGATTGGGAGATTCCAGGACTCCCTAGTGACTAATTAATCTTCCTTGAAACTAGCAGCCCCAGAAAATGTATCATCCTAGGGCTGGGGATGTAGTGTAGAGCACTTGCTTGGTGTGCAGGGGGCCTGGGTTCAGTTCCCAGCACCACTAAAAAGGAAGAAAGGAGGGAGAGAGGCCCGTCCCTAAAGACGGATAGGGATTGCATAATTTGACACAGTATCTACCTTCCACGGGCCAGGTCGTCTTCTCCACTCCCCGACTTCACTCTCCCCTCCCTGGTTGTATACATAATGTCGTACAAAACACAGCCTTGACCATAGATTCACGTATACGTAAGGCTGCTTTCCCATTGCAGGAGCGGAGTTGAAAAGTTGCATCAGAAAGTTTGTTAACCCCTGCAGCAGGGCACTCCATATTTAGATCATCCAAGAGTTGTCTTAGGGAAAAATCTAATGTGTGGCCGAGGGTAGGAGAGGAGTTAGAAAATAAGTAACTCCTCATGCAGGTGTGGTCAACAAAGGTGGTAACCAAGGCTCCTTGTACCCATTAAACCCTTTATTATTTTAGATAGAACCCCAGTTTTTCTTTTTGTTAAATCTTGCATTTTGGAATTCTGGAATTCTTCATTTTCAGCAGTGGATCTAGCAACCCTGTAAATCTCATTCGATATTTAATCCTAAGGTTTTGAGTGTGTGGAAAGTTAGAAAAAACCTCAGTGTACAGTATTGGGGCCACTTTGAAGCAGGATATAGAACTCTAATAAGTGGGCCACTGGTCTGATGTGTTTTCAAGGTGTGTGTGTGTGTCTGTCTGTGTGTGTCTGTGTGTCTGTCTCTGGCTCTCACTCTCTGTCCCTCTGTTTCCTTTAATAGCAATACTACAAGATCCGAAGTCAAGCAGTCCATCAGCTGAAGGTCAGTGGGGAGGATCCGTACCCACACAAGTTCCACGTAGACATCTCACTCACTCAGTTCATCCAAGAATACAGTCACCTGCAGCCTGGGGACCACCTGACCAACATCACCTTAAAGGTGGCAGGTAGGACAATTCCCTGGCCGCTCACTAAGCTCCCACTCCAGGCCAGGTCTTGTCAGTAACACGAAGGAGGGCAGGGGTTGGCCTTACTCTCAGGTAGGTTGTGTCTACAGCTACGTAGCTTGAGTCAGTACCATTTTGTCTATGCACAGAAAAAGGTGGAGCAGCCCTGAGGTATGGGTCACATTCCAGATGAGGGAATGCTACTGAGAAAGGCTCATTTTCTGAGGGAACGCCTGGCCTACTGCGGCTGCTACTTACTTCACAGTCTTCTTCTAAGGTCTTCCTTTCATCCGTGGGAACCGTGGGCTCAGGCTCCTTATAATTCCAGTCTTCGGCCTGAAAATCCTTTGCACTGAGACTGTATTTCTAGAACATGAGGGTTAGAGTAGAATTTAAGGGTTAGAGGATCTTGTGTGGGATCTCCTTTTACTTTAATTTTAAAAAGTTAATTTTCTCTTTTTCTTTCCCTTCTTTCTCTTAGTTGTATGTATGGCACCATTTCATGCCTTGCAAGCCCAAGTTCCCGAGTTCAATCTTATTATCTCCCCACAAAAAAAAAAAATCTATTAGTTGTAGAAATTAGGACATTCAAAGAAGCAGAGGAAAAAAATGTTTAAGGACTCATTCTACTTTCCAAGGAGAACTCCTACCGAAACCTAAATGTCCTCAAAATTTCTTTAAGTGGAATAATTTTACTAAAATATGTCTTCATATTAAAAGTCATTTGGCTCAGCATTCTCAGACATGCCTTTAAATCTTGTTTTGTTTTGTTTTAATCTTTTTCTTTTTTAGGAAGGTGTGTGTGTGTGTGTGTGTGTGTGTGTGTGTGTGTGTGTGTGTGTTACTAGGGATTGAATCCAGGGGCACTTTTAACCACTGAGCTGTGCCTCTAGCCCCTGCCTTTTTTTTTCCCCCTTTGGCTTTTTGAGACAGGGTCTCACTATGTAGCCCAGCCTGGTCTCGAACTCACAGTGTGATGCTCTTGTCTCAGCCTCCCGAGTGCTGGGATTACAGGCGATTATTTTGAGGTATGGTCTCACCAAATTGCCTAGGCTGGCCTCAAACTTACAACCTCCTGCTCAGCCTCTCAAGTTGCTAGTATTACAGGCATGCACCAGTGCACCAACTAGTTTTTTGTATTATGCTTTGTTTCTTACTTTGGATATCTTTTCATACTTTTTATTCATTCATAGGTTGGATCAGCTTCAGTCCTTTTCATAATTATCACCTTCTCTTGAATCCTTATTTTACCTTTTTTTATACTTTGATTTTTAAATTTTATCTTCCTTTTCACTTTCTGTGACTCTTAAGGTACTGTTTGTTGTACTTACTCACTTTGTTCTAGCTTAGTCTTAATTTCCAAATGAGTTTTTGAGCACTTCATTGTATCTGGAGGATAGTATACTCTTATTTTCTGTCTGCCTGCCCTCCTCACAAACAGGGTCTCACTCTTAGCCTAGACTGGCTTCTTTTCTCCTTTCCTTTCCTTTCTCCTTTCCCTTTTCCCCTTTCCTTCCCCCCATACCAAGGATCAAACTCAGGACCTTGTGCTTCCGAGGCAGGCGAAGTGCCACTGAGCTACATCCCCAGCCCGTAGCCTAGGCTGGCTTGGAACCCACAATCCTCTTGCCTTAGCCTCAAGTGCTGACATTACAGACATGCACCACCACACTTGGCTTTCTGTCTGGTAATTTTGAATTGTATTTGACCTCAAATCCCTTATGTTGCTTGAATTTTATATGAAATTACTCTTCTTGAATGTTAAAAAGGATCTTGGTTTACATCATTTTTTCAACTGCACCATGCTGCCTCTTTGTTCTTTTTGTGGGGTTTTCTGGCAATTTCTAGCTCTTTTCCTCTTCCCTACTTCTATTGCTATACTCTTCCTTTAGTTTGTCTTCCCTTGTTCTGGAAGAGAACAAGGTTAAGTTTGTTAAGTTTGGTTGCTAAGTTTAGAGAGCTACTCTGGACTGTATTGGTCCATCCCCTTTAAGTTTTCATAGTGCATCCTTACCTGTGTAGAAATAGACACAGTCTCTCCCGGTTTCTGCTTCTGTCCTCTGGGTATCCTGGAGGAAAATGCACATTTTCTGTGACTGTATTTGGCTATTTGTGTCACTTTTCATATCCATCTGATACCCCATTTCTTCTCACTGCTGTTTTCCCACATAGAGGTCTTCCAGGTCTTGGTGGTTTGCCCCATCACTTATATTTGGGAGTTTTGGGGGATTTTTTTTTAAACAGCCTTGCTCTGTAGTTCAGCCTGGCCTTGAATTTGAGGAGCTCCTTCTGCCTCAGCTTCCTGAATGCTAGGATAATGAGAATCATTGGCATAAAAAAAAAAAAAAAAAAAAAAA